TGTACCTGCAAAAAAAAGCTGTAACAACCCATGAGTGTACCTGCAAAAAGGCTGTTACAACCCATGATTGTACCTGCAAAAAGGCTGTTACAACCATGACTGTACCTGCAAAAAAAGCTGTTACAACCCATGAGTGTACCTGCAAAAAAAGCTGTTACAACCCATGAGTGTACCTGCAAAAATAACTTTTACAACCCATGAGTGTGCCTGGAAAAAAGCTGTTACTGTTTACTTATTTAGATGGACCTAGTCACTGATATGCAACAATAGAGTGAATTTGACTGTTTAATTAAAACATAGCCTTTGTTGGCTTTTGATTGACTGGCAGATGCATGCATTCAATCAAGTTGAGCAATGGCATATTAGAGAAATGTAAACATTTTTCAAACCTAAATTTTGAAAGCGTGTATATTTTGGAGTGATATAAAAATGACAGAAAATATACAACATTAGCAATAGTGGCTGTCCCAGGGCTGTTATTAATGGCTTCAGAGAATTAGACTTGCAATAATGCAATAAATGTAACTTTTCAGGTACGAGATTTACTGACTAAACCATCTCATGGTCAACGTGGCGGGTTAAAAATCAGGCAGCATCCACAGTCTGGATTCTTCGTGGAGGGTCTCAAGGTGAGTATTCTGCAACCATTCATGCCCCGAAAATATTTTTATGGCTTGGAATACATGTAATCACTTGATGTGAATTAATAATTATGAAATTTTAATTTAGACCGTTCATTCATATCCAGCCATTTCCAACCATATCTCATGCATACTTGCTGTGATACAGTTGTAACTTTACACGTACATCAGACATATACACATGCATTTGTTTCACGATCCAATTCAAGATGGCTGAATGGCACCCATTTAATGCCAAAAATGCATCAAAATCACACATTTTCACTATTCTGGAACTGGATATCAGACTTGTGTATATACATTTAACACAATGGGATCTTGATGCACATTATTTTATTTTTCCCAATTGAGTTCAAAATGGTTGATTAGTGGCCATTTTCTTTCAGAGAAGGTAGTTCTGGATCCATATATCCGACATGCCTGGACCGATGAAGTTCATACACATACAGACGTTATAGGCAGAATGCCTTTGTGTCATGATCCGATTCATTTTAAGACCAATAATGCATCAAAATCACATATTTTCACCATTCTGAAACCGATCGCAATCGGAATCTGTTCGAATTTGTCTAACTACATTTGACATAATGGGACCTTGATGCATATTTATTGCACATGCATTTTTATCACCATCAAATCCAAAATGGCTGACTGGTCTTCATCTTGTTTAAACAAATGTGCCATACAAGCCTGGACCAATCAAGCTCAACTTTACACATGCTTTACACAACAAGCCATGTATATTTCTCACATCTATGATATAAACATTGACAATGATTTGTTTTAATATGCAATATTTCTAATATTCTATATCATTTATTTATTAATTAATCATTTTCTTGATTCATTAATGGATTGATTAATTCATTGATTGATTTACTTAATGTAGTCAGTGCCTGTGAGATGTTACAAGGAAATTGAAAGACTGATGGATGATGGAACAGTAAACCGTACAACAGCTTCTACCAATATGAATGCAACCAGTAGTCGATCACATATGGTTATAACCATCAAATTTAAACAGGTACACATGACACTTAGTGATTCAAGTGTCTTGCTCTTTGTTCTTTCAGCTAAGTTGTGTATTTAAAGCAAATTTTGTCACTTGAAGCGATCCAGCAGTGTAGGATTACATTTAGCTAATTAGTTGCCATAAATGTACTGTAATGGGCTGAGTATATTTGGTTGAATCACTAAAAAATGTAATGTGCAACCAAAATCCAGTTTGTAGAATCATTGTGCAAGCCAAATCAGAGAAAGAGACATGCGATTTTAGACGAATTGACCTTCAATTAACAAATTCACACAAAATAACATAACCTGTGGTATTACCTATGAGTATAGCATTTATCAGCTTGAACATGAACAAAAACAAAATGGCCACCAGTCAGCCATATTGGAGAAAATATTATGAGCACCTGTAACTTAATATGCATCATCATGATACATAGTCTGAATGAAATCACCCAGAAAATTGATATGCATATGGAAATTTTCATACAATGTTTGTATGTTGCTCAAAGCATGAATGCAATAACTTATCCAAATAAGGAAGACATTTGTGGCTAAATTCTTTTGTTTCCACTGCCAGATACAATATTATCTTGTATTTTGATGTTTTCAGGTATTTCTGAATGAGTTTGGAGAGAGTACTACAAAAAGTAGTGAAATAAGTTTGGTAGATCTGGCAGGAAGTGAAAGAGCCGACTCTACAGGTGCTACAGGTGATAGATTGAAAGAAGGGTCCGCCATTAATCAAAGCTTATCAACGCTAGGAAATGTCATTAGGTAACTATCCCAGAATGCATTGCGAGTTTATTTTATTTGTTTATTTGTTTGTTGTACTTTTGCATTAATGAACATACTTTATTTTTTAGTGCTCTAGCAGATAAAGCTATGGGAAAGAAAAAAGTGTTAGTTCCTTACAGAGATTCTGTGCTGACCAAATTATTACAAGGAGCATTGGGTGGTAATAGTCGAACCATTATGGTATGTTTCATTATAGTTATGTAGTTATCAGATTTTTCATTTCATGCCAATATCATTAATTCTTTTTGTCATTTCTAGTAAAAAATTATATTTTTGACTTTTTGAAAACACCTAGCCTGATTGCTTTGATGTGCTATATGGGTGGTTCTCTCTATCAGATTTTTCATTTTATGCCAATATCATTAATTTGACTTCTTGAAAACACCTAGCCTGATTGCTTGATATTTGAAGTGTACATAATTTTTGTAAACAATTTGTTTGTTAAGTTTGTTTATCATGTTCTTAACAGCCAGAATCAAACTACTGTTTTGTTTTATTGGTTTGCATTACTTGACTTAGCTATTTAGACCGTCAGGTCGCTGTTCAAATAGAATGAAAACAGATATGACAGATACACAAAGTGGATAGCAATGAATTTGAACTACTTTGGATATTTCAGATAGCTGCTTTGAGTCCAGCTGGCATCAATTATGAGGAAACTTTGTCCACTTTACGATATGCTGACCGAGCTAAAAAGATCCAAAACAAAGCTAAAATTAATGAGAGTCCAACTGACAGACTCATCCGAGAACTGAAAGAAGAAAATGCCAAATTACAAGCTATGTTATCAAAATCTGGTGGTCTGGGAAGTAGAGATGGAGCAGGTAAAGTTCATTTTGTTTGTAATGCACAAATTGTGTTTATTCTCTACATTTAGCATTGTTTATATGTGATCTGATCACATGATAGGATGTAATTCTAGTACATCTACTGAACATTCATAATGTACCATTAGTTGGTCCTGAATATGCATAATGTAATCATTAAGACTGAATGGGCATAATGTAATCATTTGGCCCTGAACATGCATAATGTGACCATTAGACCTCAACATGCAGCTTAGCTTTCAGAATGGATTGGCCCTAAACATGCATAATGTAACAATTGGACCTCAACATGCAGCTTAGCTTTCGAAATGGATTGTAATGTGCCATTGCAGGTTTAATGAAAATTAAGTGCCAAAGAATATAAAATTAAGAATTACATAACATCATAAAACACTTCCAATGATGTAGAAATCAGCTGGTACCCAAAAAAGACCAGCTTGAAGTGAAAAAAAATGTGTCCATGTAGGTTGCACCCAATACTTGTTAGTGTGTAAATGGGTCTCTTTGTCTGTGACCCAGAATGCTTTGTTCATCCACAATATTGAAAACTTGTGTAATAAAGCATGGTATACAAGTTTAAATCTGCCTCAATATATCAGAGGATTGTGGTTTGTTCACATTGTTATATAATTCATTCTGTGCACTTGCGGAGGCCGACTCTTAAAGCTGTCAGTAGCTGCAAAGCTCACAAAGCTTTATAGTGTCCACAGTGAGAGCAGATTATTGCTATAGTCCTCATCTATTTAGGGCCCTTTTTTCTGTCAATGAGATTGATATTACCGTATTTGCTCTATAGCCTTGGTTTCAAATAATGTCACTTAGCGTTGCATCATGCAATTAATTATTCATGGAAACATTTAATTCAGACAAATAAACAAAAACAAAAATAGTGATAGGCATATTGAAGATAAGATAAGATAATTCTTTATTACAACTATATTGAAAGAAATTCAATTTAGGTGAATACAAATGTAATAAAGGTATGACAAACTATTCCAAAAAACTAAAACTATACTTATCATAAAGATACAGTAAAAAAATGTTACTGGTACAGTCAAACCTGTGTTAACGACCACCTGTGCAGAGCGGCCACCTGCTCATAGCGACCACCTTAGTACAGTCCC